AACTAGTAATTATATAAATAGTACTTACCCCTTCAAAGACACTCCAATTTCTCTCACACCCGGATGAACTAGTAGTCAAACCAAGGATCATCTTTGCCATTAATTTCAAGTTTGGTGCTTCATTGCCATAAAAGTCCCACCAACTAACTAGTAAATGCAAAAGAAGGAGATAAAAATGTTATAATATGTACATATGGTTTATTAACAAGAAAAAGAATAATAATATTAACATACTCGGATTGTAACTTGAAGTATTGTTCTCACATCCACTAGTAGCTAGTTTTCTTCCAAATGTACCTTCTTTTTTAGTGTATCTTTGTAACTCGACATTTATCACATGATTTTGCATTTGAACATCGGGAAAGAACTTCTCAACACAAAGAATCACATTGTTTGTTATCAATTGATTATCCTTGATATTTGGATTCTTGAAGAAGTAAAATGGATTCAAAAGATAAGCAGTTGTATGAAGTGGACTATCAAGTCAATTCTTGCCCTTTTCATCAATAATGTTCAAGATTGGCATATAATCACTTTCTCTCTTCAACATCTTTATAATGTCATCCTTTGCCTTTAGTAGCTCTCCATAAACAAACCCATCGAAGGTTTCTCCTCTCCATCAACTAGTCTAAGAACTTTCACTAACAGAGTAAATACCCTCAAACACAAGTCTATCGAGATCCAAAAATCTTTGGGAAATATCAAAGGCCACTTTTCCCTTTTTGCTCCTAGATCATTTTGTATTATCCCATTCATTGATGGTCATCATATTTCTCAACTCTTGTTTTTTATCGAGCAAACTTTGTAATGTTAAGAAAGATGTAGCAAATCTAGTGACTCCCGGCCGAACTATCTCCCTTTTTGTAAACTTCCTCATCAGTGCCAAAGTCTTATGATGTGCATAGATGAAAATAGTAAATGATTTTGCCTTCTTAATCACTCATTTGAAGCTAGGAAGTTTAGAGATTCCGTCAGAATAAGGTTCATGGTGTGAGTAGCACAAGATGTCCATGTTAGGCCTTTGCACTGATAACAAATTCGCGGTGGCCATGTTATTGGAAGCATTGTCAGTTACAATTTGAACCACATTTTCCTCTCCAACCTCTTTAACACATTCATTGACATATTCAAAGATGTATTCACCGGTGTGAGCATCATCATTAGTTTCCTTTGAAGAAAGAAATGTGCTTCCCAATTTACAATTCACACACAAATTCATGATACTTCTTCTTTTCCTACCGCTCCAAGCATCAGTCATGATGGAACACCCGTTATTTTTCCATTCTTCTTTTTGTTTCTTAAGAGTTTCTTTTGCACTCTCCACCTCTCCCTTCAAAAGTGGTCCCTTAATTGGTATTGTGAAGGAGGGGTGTAACCTGGACCATATTGACCAAGAGAATGGCATTAAAAGGAATTCCGGCTTCGTATACCTATTTAGCCAAATATTGATGAACTTCTAGTAACCTTTTCTTAGCAATTGCATCATTGATATTTTGTTGTTTCATTTTCTTACTTGCACACATAGAAGCATCATCAACCTTAATTGGCCTTGAAAAGCTATCCATGGGACCCACATGAATAGGTCTTTTCCTTCCTCCTTCAATGATAGAAATTTCTTCTTCTTCCTCCTCACGCGTAGACATAGATATAACTACATCTTCCCTCACCTTAGCATTATTCAATGCATTCTCTAACTTCTTAGACTTAATCTCTTCAAGTGTTTCACGACATTTGGCTTTTTTTCTCTTGACTTGCTTTAGGACACGATTTCACACCCATTCCCTTGATGCCCGCTATGTGCACTTTATGCCTATTAATCCCCGCCTTTGTAACTTTGTCACATAATGTGCATCTCACATTATTAGGTTTACTAACATCTTTAATAACTGCAGTTTCCCATCCAACATCCCCTGAACTCTTTTTGAGCTCATTATCTTCAGAAATAGAATTATATGCCTTAGAAGAATCATTTTGCTCCATTGGCTCCAAGTAAATTGAAGAAAAAATAAAATTGAATAAAAGCAAGAATCAACTTGTGAACACGTATTCAAATAAATACTACTTGATGACTTCAACTCAACAATTTAATATACGAATTTTTTCAAGTATGAAAATGCAACGTTTAGTTGAAAACCACACAACTTATGAAGAATATTTGACAACAGTTGATTTTAATGAAGGCAGTGGGCTTAACAGTGAATTGGTTAGAGTTCATGTTGTAACGTCACTAACTTAATGACCAAATTAGAAACATTAGTTAATTTCATTGACCAATTATTTAATTAATATATTATCATCACAACTTCAGTAGATTCCTTAAATTATATGATTCATCCACGTTATAGAACTTGCTTCACTTTCTTTCTGTAACTGTTAAATCGCCATAAAACTAAGAATAATAGCAATAATAAAATAAAAATAGTAAACTTACACAAAAGGCTTAAAAAGGCTTTTCCTTGATGAGCAGCGGGATGATGGTGAATGTATATGTGATGTTACAGTAGAGCAGCTCCAAAAACTATTTTTTATGTTAATGCCCAGATGAAGATTTATGTAAAAGCAAAATCCTAGAGATTATTGTATATAATATAATTGATGAACTTGGGTGATTTGGGCTAATTTGATGTTTGTTGGGCTCAATTTACTTTTTTAAAGTTATAAAAATGGGTTGAACTTCGTTTTGCTAATTTGAATATATTTTTAATTACAAATGCGTGGGCATTTTGGAGAATATGCGCGCATATGCGGTCAACGAAATGAGTTGACCGCATTATCATACACATACCTTATATGCGATGAGTTTCGAAAACGCATGGAAAATATGCACGCATAAGCGAAGCATATTCGCGCATTTTAGAATACTGAGTATTAGAGTCAACTCCATATTAAACCATTGAGGTTAAAGAATGAATTTTATGGTTAAAATTTATGCTTTGGATTTTTCAATTTTAGAATGTGGATTTTATCCATAAATTTTAAATTATGAATTTTGGGAAAGTTTTAACTAAGATTGATTGTTGAATTAACTTTTTGGCATTATGTGTATGTATTATGGTAGTGTAATTGAATGAATAAAAAAACGTGTTTGAATTAATTATGATAAGTTTCCTTCTGACACATTAATTGAACGAATGTGTGGCCACATTTTCCAAAATCTTATTAATGGACATAAATCCATCCTTGAATTTAGTGGCTTTGGGCTTAGTGGAGTAATTCAAGTCAACACATAATTTTGTTGACAAATAGATTTTTTTAGTGGACATTAAATCCATCCTTTAAATCTTGATTTTTCGGTCTTCAATTTTAATTACTGTAATCCTTCTTCTTTATTCTTGATTGTAATTCTTGATTCTTGATTGTGAGTTTTAGATTTTTCTCTTCAATATGTTTTCTCTATTAATTCATGTGTTGATGGGATGACACAAAAAATGAGAAAATTACATATGAATTGGGGACCATAACCCTATATATAGTTTCCATACGTATTCGGCACATCGTCAAATATAAACCTTATTAAATCTGGTTTCTACACATATAATTCGGCCCACATTTTATTTAGATGTCAAAGGCTCAATTACTTAATTCTTTTATTTTGTGTTTAACTTTAAGATAACATTTATACATAATTAATTTCGTATGTCGGCCTACATGACAAATTAAATAATTTCCCAACAATCCTCTCTCACGGGTGTCAGATTTGGAAACAAATTTTGAACTCCTAATTCCATCAATGCTAGCTACCCAAGACAAAGATAGCTGTTGTTTGGTAAAGAATTCCTACACTATTGAATTTCAATCACAACGATTAGTAGCGAAGAGAATATGATAAACTACCGAAGCTTCATCAGTGCGAAAGAATCCCTTTATATAAATATTTTGAAATGGTTTATGCAGATGACTGACTATTTAAATAACCGTAATTCTATTCAATTTACAGACTTTATTTAAATGATCCAAGGCGGGCAGTGGTATATGTAGCTTGTCTAAGAAACCAAGCATAATCATGGAAATTGTGAAACAGGGTAATATTTCAAAAATATGCATCACTAAAACATGCAAAGATGAATACTGAAAGAGTAATGTTATTCATCCCCAGTGGGGATGAAAACACAGTCTATGTGGCTCTAATGTTATTCATCCTCACGGGGTGCAATAATGCATATCAAGCTTAAAAGAAGCAATGACGATTCTTATCCAGTTTTAGAGGTGTAAGGCATGTAGGGTTGCCAAAGTATTTGCACTAGCTGGAGTAATAGATCCACGATAAACTTTTTAGGTATGGCACAAGCTTCAATTGAGTCTGAATTGCCATTTTTCTCTTTCATTAAGAGTAAACTACTAATATGAACTATTCATCTCCCCCATTTTGTTGGTAATGGTGGCAACCGTAAATTTTTAAAAGTTGAATTAAAGGTCGTTTGATTGCAAGAATGAAATTTGAGTGGAAAGAAAATGAATTCTATAAAATTGAGTTGTTTAGAACTTCTTAACAAATATCCTTTGAATAAAATAAATACATAACTTTTCTCTATGTTTTAACCCGTATTTCTTTTTCACTCCTCATAAAATTTATGGAAAAAAAAAATGAGTCAAGTCATTGCATGACATCATATCTTAATAACAGCAACGTGATAACAGCCTAAATCCTCGCTCCCCACCAATTGCAAGTGACCTAATTTGTGACTGTACAATTTGTCTTTGCACATGGTACACCCTGGAACAGTTCTTGTATTGCCTATTATATCCCTTTTTGATTCTTTATTTACTCACCAGTTAGGCATATATTGACAAGAAAGCCAGAGTTGATTTTGTCATTTCACTGGCCGACGGAATGTGGGGCCCATACTATGGCTGGCGTCAATGGCGGGGGCCACTCTCCGGACGCCAACCATTTATCAAATCCCCGTTTCTTAATTTAAGTCTCACAAATATAGAGAGAGGGAATTCATTCTTATTGCCATCAAGGACCTAGAGAGAGAAAAAGGTTTTGTCCAGAAAAAATGAGAGAAATTATAAGCGTTCATATAGGTCAAGCAGGAATTCAGGTGGGAAATTCTTGTTGGGAGCTCTATTGTCTTGAACATGGCATCCAGCCCGATGGCATGATGCCTAGGTATACAACTTTCTATCTATCCTAGCGTATGTACATATTCTTCTATCATTGTATGTTGGTTGTTTTACGTATATAAGGTTTTTTGATGTATTATCTTTTTCAATTTGATGGTGATTTTTATTATTCTGTTTTGTGGTGCAGGAAGTAATTGTTGAGTTTTCCCCCTTTGTTTAAATATTTTGCGATTCCATTTTGCTATTTAATATATTTCTGAAATGTTGAAGCTTTTAGACGGATCTTGTTTGACTCTTTTTTTTTTTAATGTTATCACGTTAGATGTGAATTATCCAGGCTTCGTGGTTGATATTGGAAAACTGAATGATTTTCAAAAGAAACCTATCAATATTCATAGCATGACGAACATGGGGATTCAAGATTCACTAAAATGATTTTTCCTTTGATTAGTCCAATCTCAGTAAACTGTGAATTCCCTTCAGCAAGAGATACACGGTTTTCAGATCAAAGTGGAAATGTAAAAGCAAGCTGTTTCTTTAATTCTCACATTGGATTTTATTTTGGTGTTTTTTAGTTTGCTCTCAATTACTCTTCAGTTTACGAGTTCTCATTTTGATGCATAATTGCTTGTGGTTTTGCAGCGACACCTCAGTGGGTGCAGCACATGATGCCTTCAACACCTTCTTTAGTGAGACTGGTGCAGGGAAGCATGTCCCCAGAGCTATATTTGTTGATCTTGAACCAACTGTTATTGATGAAGTCAGAACAGGGACTTATCGCCAGCTCTTCCACCCTGAACAGCTCATTTCGGGAAAGGAAGATGCTGCTAACAATTTCGCAAGAGGCCATTATACAGGTAACTGTTAATACACCTTTTGTCAAAATGCTTGGTTTACATGAAAATCACATGTTTGTGTCAATCAATATCTCTGAAAACTTGGGCCAGTGCCACCACTATAATATATATCTCCAATTGTGTGGGTTAATTTGACTGTGATGATTTAAGTGCAGTGGGGAAAGAGATTGTTGATGTATGCCTGGACAGAGTGAGGAAGTTGGCCGATAATTGCACAGGTTTGCAAGGATTTTTGGTGTTCAATGCTGTTGGTGGTGGTACTGGTTCTGGATTAGGTTCTCTTCTTTTGGAACGTTTGTCCGTGGACTATGGCAAAAAATCAAAGCTTGGCTTCACCATCTATCCTTCTCCTCAGGTGCTTAAAGTTAACATTCTAATAGTTGCTTCAATCCTCTACCTATTAAGTTATCATGTTTCGTGCAATTATTTCATGGTTGCAGTTGTCTTCTATAAAAAGCAGCAGAGCATTATGAATATATTTTGAAATTTCGATTGCTTTTGTAAACTGAATTTCAACACTTTCTGACAAGTAACTTCCAATGTGTACTGCATATAGCTGTAGGTATATTAGCCCTCAGTTGTTCTACGTGACTTAGACATGTTTTTGATATCAATTGCAGGTGTCCACTGCTGTTGTGGAGCCTTACAACAGCGTTCTCTCGACTCATTCCCTTCTTGAACACACAGATGTGGCTGTGCTACTGGACAATGAAGCAATTTACGATATTTGTCGGAGATCTCTAGATATCGAGAGGCCCTCCTATACCAATTTGAACCGGTTGATTTCTCAAATCATATCATCCTTGACCACTTCTTTACGGTTTGATGGGGCCATTAATGTGGATATTACTGAGTTCCAGACCAATCTTGTACCATACCCTCGTATTCATTTCATGCTCTCATCATATGCCCCTGTGATCTCAGCCGAGAAAGCATACCATGAGCAGCTATCAGTCCCTGAGATTACTAATGCTGTATTTGAGCCCTCGAGTATGATGGCAAAATGTGATCCAAGACATGGGAAATACATGGCTTGTTGCCTGATGTACCGAGGAGATGTTGTTCCCAAGGATGTGAATGCTGCCGTTGCTACTATCAAAACAAAACGGACGGTTCAGTTTGTTGACTGGTAAGAGTATAAATTGGTTTAAGGAAACTAATTGTCAAGCTGAAGATATAAATTTATATATAGAATGATAGCTTCGCAAGGTTTACTTATTGAAAAATTATATTTCGTTGCATCTTGACAAATATCTACTCGTAATAATGAGGAAAGGGCAATATGTTTTTTCGTTGGGTTTTGTGAGTTGGGTCTTAAAAGAATACATTGAAATATTCTTTCTGGATAGCTGACTTGATGGCAATAAGAATTAAGTCTTGACAAGATCCAAAAAGTTCAGGCGAGTCAAATATACCTCTATTGGTTCGAAGCAGTTACCAACCTGGCAGCCATGCAGAAGCATGCGCCCTCTCAATAAAAAGCACGGGCCACTTCGGGGGTGAACCTAGCATACAAAATCAACTATGATTTGTGTGTTGAACTTTCCGTTCCCCTGCATGTTTTAGTTATTTAATACTTGGATGTTTTAGTTATTTAATACTTGGACGATTTAACTACCCTGAGCATTGTTTATTTAGAGGCAATTATGTTTGTTGTCCTTTTATTTATGGCCGTCCATTCTAAAAAATATTCTCCTCTGGACATTAATAGGTGCCCAACCGGCTTCAAATGTGGTATTAACTATCAACCTCCAACAGTGGTACCTGGCGGTGATCTTGCCAAGGTGCAGCGAGCTGTGTGCATGATCAGCAACAACACTGCTGTGGCTGAAGTGTTTTCGCGCATTGACCATAAATTTGATCTGATGTATGCCAAGAGGGCGTTTGTTCACTGGTATGTTGGTGAAGGAATGGAGGAAGGTGAGTTCAGTGAAGCTCGTGAAGATTTAGCTGCACTTGAGAAAGATTACGAAGAAGTTGGTGCTGAGGGTGTAGATGATGAAGATGAAGGCGAAGGCGAAGATTATTAAAGAAATTGGCCTCTCTAGGTTTCTCGAAATTGTGGTGGTTGGGCTACTGTCTTTCACCTGTTATGTTATTGTGTTTTCATGTTTCTTACATTGGATGAGTCATTGTTGAAATTGTGTGTGCAGTAATCTGATCGAGTGATCTAATTCTAACTACAAATGTCATAATAACGTCTGCCTATAAAATTGCTTGGTCATAACATGAATAGTGCTAGTTAAATGATCATTCAATCTTGATTTTCAAGTTTAATAATCGATCCGAAATTGAATTATTTATTTTTTGGCTCGACTCTCTCACTCAGATCTCCTAGGGGCGTTTTCTTGTTAATTTCTCTTGAAATAAAACGACCCATTTTGCTAAATGGTAGATACCCTCCTTTACTTCTGGTACAGAACCTCTTTCATATTGTTTGGAAGAAGCATTGTTGAAAAAAGCACGACTTATTAACTGAAATGAAAATTACGTTCAATTCTAATAAAAAACGGTGCATTCACAGAAATGGAGCAAAAGTTTTCATCCACCGTTCAAAATGCTGAACTCAAAGTTCTGTAATTCAAGATTCTTTTTCGGGGCGGGGGGCGCAATGCAAATGCTCTCAAACTGTGGGTAACCAAATGAAAATTTATTGAACGTCCTCAGACTGAGAACGAAACAAATTGCTAGGAATTAACTTGCAATATAATGTTATAACCCAATAAAGCTCGTGGTGGAACAGTTGAATGTCTTTAGATATAAACAAGCAGATCCTGGAAAAGGTCTTTCATTCTCAAAAATTACAGAACTGATAAAGGAAAAAAGAAAGAAAAGTCAGTATACAGATACTGCTCTATTCATACAGCTTAAAAACCATTACAGTAATGGATCACTCTCAAAGTTACAAGACAACCTAACAAAGGTGTAATATCTGCTTTATAAACATTCAAATAGAAAAAAGACAATGCAATAAAAAAGACTCCAAGTCAAAGTTCATTTCCTTCAGATGTCTGAAGTCTTTACCATGTAGATGAAACCAAATATACAAAAAGTTCAATCCGTGTAGTAGGATCTGCAGAATCACACAAAAAATCAAATAGATTACAAACTGGCAGAGAAAAATAAATGGCAGTTTTTCAAGAAACAAAGTAACTAATCACCAAGTTTGATATGCAAATCTTTTGGTGATTTCTAACCCCAGTTTTACAAATTCATTTGCCAATAGTCAGTAAGGGGATAGAGAGAATTCTCTGTTCTAGCAGGATAGGAAAAGCAGGACATCTGAAAAGGCTATTTCCTAATAACCATCATGAGACTACAATTTTGCAACATAATTTCCTAGGGAAATGTATACCAAGCATGAACTTGGAGGGTGGGAAAAGTACTACATCAGTATTTCCCTTTTTGACTAAACAAACAAAATAATTAGTACCGGTCAACGTTTTGTTGATGATCCAATTACATTTATATCTGAAAAAAGTGCATGGAATTTTTGCCATAAGACATCAAACAACACTAAACAAGACAAAACTGAGCATAATCAGCATATATGATATTGATGAGAGGAACATGAGGTTGAACATTCTTTCAAACCAAGATGTAACATGGGGAATAAAAAGACAAATGACTTGAATAATGTAGCCAATCAGGTTTGATAAGAAAAGTGCAAATGCACAAATTTCTTATTTGTCATATCTATAGGTGTAGAAAGGTACAATGGCATCAGTCCATCAATCACTACCATGACCTTGATATCGTAACCCTTCAGATACAGAATCCACACTCTCCATGTCTCCTGAATTCCAAGATGCAAATATTAGTTATTCTCCAAAACAAATGAACAACCAAAAGGTCTGACGAGTGATCACACCTACCATGGGGATTCATAAAGTTGTTCACACCGGTTGATAGTATGGGAAGCCTAGAGTAACTCTCCAGTAATTCTGAAATTGCACAGAAGAGGGACAGACTCAAAACACGTCAAACAGTACCTAATTGCAATCTTTGATATGAAATTCCACCTGTTGTGCGTGCGTGTGTGTGTGTATATATATGTTTATGTAGAGAGGAAAGAGAGCAAACCAGAACTATTGCAGAAATCAGCTGCCACGTCTGGTGACCAAAACTGACTTTGAGGAATTTGCCCCAAAAATCCAAATGATGGAGCATTTCCACCCAAGAGCATGTCATTCAGGGGCTGTGCACTGGGTTCAAAGCTAGTGAAAGATGATACAGATGCATCACCCATCAGAGGACGTGATTCCATTAAATTGCTATGTGCACTCAAGCAGTAAGGTGAACTACGAGCATAACCAGCTTTTGTTTTGACAACCTTCCCATGTGTTGCCTGTGCCAATTCCACATTTGAATGCTGACCCAAGAACAAGTTTGGTGAAATGCCCGTCTTTCTACCATGAGCAGATACATCAAGAGTTTCTTGCACACAAGACTGGATTGATGATCCACAATTATTGAATGCATTTGGCTGCTGCACATCCTCTGTTGTCAGATAGACATACTAGTTAAACTCTGTAGAGCAGGAAGTATACTGCATCCCATTTAAAACGAGTTCCAATAAAACAAAACAACATGCAAGGAGAGGAGGAGACCATTATAGTCACAGATATTTTGTACTGAATTCTTAGTTTATAAGATCAGATGTGTGCGTACTAGTGAAATAAAATATCTCAAATTAACTAGATAATATGTTATTATCACATGCACCATAAAGTTGCGTAATTTAGTAACCAGAATAAGTTTTGGGAAATTAACATTGTAAAAAGAACACCACCTAGACTACACTAATATACTAATATTTCAAAACCAGGGAAGTCGTAGCATCAACTTAATTAAACCTATCTATCACTTCTAATAAGAACATTCTTGTGCATTTTCGAATGTTAGAGTTACCCTATTTCAACACTAGCAAGTCCCACCTATTAAGAGACATCTCTGATGGATCATCCATGAGACCACAAGGATTCTCATTACGAGCAAATCTTGTTCTTTTTAACATTCTCAATATTTACTAGTGAAAGAAGTGCCTGCCAATAGGTTGAGATAAGACATACTGCCTCCAGGACGGCTTTGGAACAGCTTGATGCACATCCAACCTTTGTTGTGACTGTATGTGTGCCTAGCCATCAGCATGTCCCATCACTATCAGGGCACAATAACTAGCTCCTCCCAATCATTCCCTGCCATAAATCACAACGCTCTACCACCAACAACCAACAAGATCAAACACAACCACTTTTTGGTGAAGAATCAACCATTGCTGAGAGAAGGGGTATTATAGATTAGCTAGAGAGTGATTACAATGAAGATCGCTTTCCTAATTAAAATCAGTTATTCAGCATTTTTACTGGGTTTACAGCTAAAAAAAGCACAAAAAAGAGCTTTTCTTAATGAGGTGTAAATGAGATTTACTGCTTCATTGTTTCTTGCATTTTGTGTATATAATTAGACAATAAACTGTAGCGGTGTTGAAGAGAGAGGGGGTATGACAGGATGGTAAGTGTTGGGGTTGGGGTTGCTTGCTTATGCGGTTTTTCCTTTTTTTTTTTTTTTTTAAATATTACTCATAATTTTTACATCCAAAAAAATAGTCATTTCAAGTAATTTATGTGTGAAAAGTGACAAGTTTCCTAAAATTTGGTTGGATTTGCTAAATATAGGAATAATTGAGGTCAAGTTCTCAAAATTTTCAAACGATTGTAGTTTTTATCAAAAATGTTGTAAATTGTAATTTTTTTTTTTTTTTTTGTTTTAAGATATTATAGGTCCAAATGCACCCAATTGCCACCTCTAAGGAACACCCAGCACAATGAGAAGTGGTACAAGAGTATTCAAATGAGCTCTACAACTTCTTCTCCTAGGGGATGGGAATGCGGCAGGAGCATTAACAATTATCTTTAACCAAGAAATGCCGCTGATTAATATGAATGCTTCCTCATGTCAGGGGCTTGATTTAAAACACTTATGCACGTTCTTCGAATCTGATGGTCCAGAGCAGAAGTACTAATGAAGGTGCTGAAAATATTTACAATTGTAAACTTATCAAGTAAGAAGTGGCTGAAAGGAATTCAATGGTAGACTTGAAACAATAAGTAATGTTATTTTTGCTACAAGAAGAAATTATTAAGAAAAAGACACAACTATCATTTAAACCTTCAAGTTATCCTCCCTTTTCTTTTCCTCTCATTGACAATGGATTAAAAACTACAGTTGAAGGTCATGAAGATCAGGAGCACCATAACAAAAGCTTTCAGAAGGGTTGTTGCTAAGACAACACCAAACCTTCGAGCTAGATGACTAGTTAGACATTCCTTCAACATTCCAATGGAATTTGATTTTTAGCCCACCATAGAAAGTCCCAAGAATACACATTATCCTTGGAATACATGAATCAACAAGTATGCCTTCCGCAGCTTCAGTGTAAAGGTGCCTACAGTTTTTATCTTTCCCTCAGTGGTGCCAACCAGGCCACTGCTTATTTCCATGGAATTAATTATTGCATCCCCCTAGAATGACATTTGTTATGTTGATATAGTAATGTTTATTGTGCCCTGTCTACACATTCTTGGAACATTTTCCTGTGAACAAATGATGAAAAACACTATAGAGTAACTTTGATATTATATGAATTTGCCCACTATGATAAAGATTAAAGAGAGAGCAAAACAGTTGAAGCACTTTGAAGTATTGAAGTAGAAAGATGTCTTACTAGGTGAAACATGAGATCCATTAGACGTGGGTATGGAGGTCATCCCAATGGATCCCGTTCGACACATCAGCTCCACTTGTTCCGAGAGCAACCTGTTGAATTCCATGATTTGTTCCTTCACCAACAACTTAAGGTAGTAAGCATTGAAAAATTCTGGATTTTGTTCTTCAAGCCTCCGCCAAACTGGAAGACAGATAGCAAATTATATTAGCTACAGGTGACATAATTAGAAATAGAAGGCCTACAAAAATGCAACATTATTACTATACTGCGTGAAAGACATGATAAAGTCAGAAAAGGTGGGAAACAAGAATTGTGAAAACATCAAAATAAATAAATAAAAATGAAATGCGAGTTTTTAGATAAGATATGTTAAGCTTCGCTCCTGTGTGGGCTTAATATTTTCTTAGAGATGCTCTTAACGCAACACACTAAGCGAATTATGGAACCTTTTTAATCACCTTCTAGTGTAAAATAACTTGCATTAGAAGCAAGTAGAATAAATCTTGAAAACATATAGAAAGGAAAAGTCAATGAATCATTTGACTGGTAAGTCAAAAATGACTTAACTCTCTAGGAAATGCTACAAGAGAAAATGATGCAGTGAGCTATGACAATGGGCAACTAGTCATAGAGGACCAATCGTATCAGAACACCACTGTCCTGAATATTCAAATGTCCAATAAAAAATGATTGTTGTTGCAATTTCCCAACTTTGATAAATCCTGAAGCGTCGACGATGATTATCAGTTAAACACGAACAACAATACCTATATCAGTAAAACGAGGATCTACGTTGTCCTGAATAAGAGTGTTCACAACTTCTTCCTTATTCATGTAATGTTGGAGACACCGGTCAATACGATTTTCCACCTGAAATATTCACCGATCAAATGGAATAATAAGAAAACTGACATATATCGTCCAATTGGATATTATTTTCTTGTTTCCTTTCCTCTTCATTGAAATCAACAGGAAGAGATTGTGCTGCCAAATGTCTTATTATTTGAAGTATCTTATGAAATGACAGTAAATATTGTTAAAAAATGATATTACTGTAGTTGAACATAGAAATAACAAATAGAAATCCTCAAAATATAAAAATCCGTTGATATCAGACCAAATGTAGGAAAATATTTATTTGTCGTTACATAAATTTAGTAAGGACTCAAATTTTATTAATCACATACGTTCACTGATTTCAGAAACCAGAATTTATAGTAATATTGAGTTGTAAGAGATTGCAGTCAGTCCATGACAGTTTTTAGGCTGAATGATTTTCTCTTCTGGGATCCTTACATTATATAGAATAGAGATCTGTACAACTATGGTATGTCATCAATCTAATGTGGTAATGTACACCTATGGTATGTAATCTTCATACTCATATAAAGATGACAATATAATCGTAATATAATCTCTCCATCGATCTCATTGACACCCCCTCAAATTGATGCTGGATGATCAAGAATCATCAATTTGCTGACAAGAAACTGATGTCGTGTCGAGTCATCGTCTTGGTAAACAAATCAGCAGTTTGAACATCTGATATAGGGAAGAATAATAAGACGACCATCATAAGTCTCACATATAGAGTGACAATCCACTTCAATGTGTTTAGTGCGCTTATGAAACGCAGGGTTAGCAGCAATTTGAATAGTACTAGTGTTGTCAGCATGAAGAGGAGTAGGCTCAAGCTGATAACAACCAAGCTCCGCTAAAAGACCTCGAAGCCTAAGAATCCCAGTGCACGCAGAAGACATAGCACAATACTCAGACTCAGTAGAAGATTTAGAGACGCGGTCTTGCTTCTTACCTCGCCATAAAATGAGTGCACTCCCAAGAAGCATACATCAACTTGTAATCGAGCAACAAGTATCTGCACATCTGGCCCAATCAGCATCACTATAACCAACCAGCTCAATAGGAGAATTGGCAGAAAAGAAAAGGCCCTAATTAGGTGTACCCAACAAATATCTAATAATGCGAATGACTGTGGCCAGGTGAAGGTGTCATGGGGCGTGCATAAATTGACAAACATGTTGGACAGCAAAAGAGAAATTTGGTCATGTAATATGAGGTAATTTAAACTACCCACCCATTGACGATATAAAGAGGGTTTCGGAAGAAGATCACTCTCCTCCTTGCGATATTTCACATTCACCTCCAAAGGAATATCAATATATCTATCATCCTAAAGTCCAGCTAAAGTAATCAACTCCTCCGTATACTTATGTTGACCTAAGAAATACTGTAAAAGGCTCAAATCCTTCGTATGAAAAGATTCCTTAAGTCGGTTTTGAAGGTGAGATATCAATCCGGAGTCGGTTACTATAATAATTATATCATCTACATAGACAAGAAGCACCATACTCGGGTCGTGTGGGAGATAAAGAGAAATGAATCGTATTGACCCTAAGTAAACGAGAAACCAAGGATAGTGAAACGAAACTTGTCAAATCAAGTGCGAAGAGCCTGTTTCAACCCATAAAGTGAGCGCTTTAGGTTACAAACATCAAAAGAGGGCAAAAAGAAGAGACCCACATGTGATGCATATAAATCTCTTCCTTAATGTCACCATGTAAGAAAGCATTCTTAACATCTATCTACAGCAAAGACCATCCCTTGGAGGTAGCTATAACAAGAACGGCGCGAAACGTTGTCATTTTGGAAACATAGGCAAAGGTCACATAATCTACGTCATATTCTTGACGATTACCTAGAGCCACCAGTCAAGCTTTATAGAGATCTAGTGATCAATCAAAGCGGAACATAACATAATAGACACATTTACACCCAGAGGTTTGAGGCCAGGAGGGCAAGGAACAATATCCTATGTATGATTCTCCTGAAAAGCTTGAAGTTCCTCTTGCATAGCTTTCTCCCAACAAGGTTGGATAACAACTTGAGAATAAGTAGGAATTGTGAAATGAGATAAGGTTGCAGAGAAACTATACAGATCAGAAGGGTGAGTAACGTGTGTGGATCGCCGAAGAGTAGAAGAATCTAGGATAGGGTCAAAATCGAGAATGGGATTAGGATCGGGAAGGGGACAGTAGAGCAGGAGGCTGTCGTCTCTCGTATATCACACCTAGTTTAAAACGCTCGATAGGACGAGAGCAATCCTCAAAGTAACGAGCGGAGACAAATCAGAAGATGACTAATGTTGGAAGTAATACTGATTTTCAAAGAAAACCACGTTGCGAGATATACGGAAGCGATTAGCAACACCATCATAACATACAAAACCCTTTTGAGCAATATTGTAACCCATAAAAGCACATCGTACGAATTGAACGGCAAGTTTATGACGTTCGTGTGGAGGCAAATGAACGAACCAAACAAAATCAAAAGTATGCAATATGTCATAGCTAGGATGTGTGCAGTACAGTAGGAAATAAGGTGAGTCAAAATCCAAATGCTAAGCAGGAAGTCGATTAATCAGATATACAGCTGTGGTAAGGGCTTAACCCAAAATTTGGGCGGAACAAAAGATTGCAAGAGGAAAACTCCGAAAACATCCAACAAGTGACGATTCTTTCTTTCTGCCACTCGGTTCTGCTGAGTACATGGGCAAAAGCGTTGAGAGAGAAAATCCTTATGTTGTAAGAAGGTCTAGCACTGATGAGACATATATTCACCACCGCTGTTGGACCTCAGAATTCGAATACTGGAAGAAAATTGTATCTCAATGTAAGCTACAAAAGTCTAAAGAGTGGTATTGACCTCACTTTTAGAATGTAGATAATATATCCAAGTGTAACGACTGAAATCAACAATAAACGTCACAAAATATTTATAATGGGCATGTTAAGTGACATACCCCAAATGTCACTGTAAATAATCGCAAAACATTTATTAGCACGGCTGCCATGAGTTGGATAAGGAAGATCTTACTTTTCTCAAGTTTACAAGCATCACAATTGAAAGATAAATTGGAAAACCGAGACTGATCGTTATTACCCAAAAAACCACATTTCAACAAATGAGACAAAATTAAAGTGATCAAAAGCCCTAATCTTTTATGCCAAATTTCAGACTTAAGTCCAACACCAATACAAGTTAAAGACATAGCAGTAGGAATATTAAATTGTAATAGAAATAATCTTCCGACTTTAGGCCCCTTCGCGATCACCTTCCACGACCCCTAATCCCGTATAAGACAACCAGCATGAGAGAAATGCACATTACAGTTATTATCAACTAATTGACCAACCGAAATCAAGTTAGTAGATAAGCTCGGAGATACAAAAACATTATCAAAGGAAGACCCAACATAACCAACAGCAGTAATCGAAAAGGTACTGCCATTAGCAATCTAAATGTGTTGTGTACCAGTATGACGTCGGATATAATGCAATGAATCGGAACTAACTGTCATATGATTCAACACCCTCAAGTTAACAAAACAAGGAGAAGAAACAACTTGACCCTTACCTTGTAATCCCAGAGCAGAGGAGGAAATCATCCGCTAAAGCATTTCTGGGATAAGAACTGGTTGACTAGTGCTTGCTTGGGAGAGTATGGGAGTAGAATCCTGAACATTAACTTGAAGTGCCTGAGCTTTTCAATTTTGAGGTCATGTGGGACAGTTCTTGATGATATTCCCTAGTTGTTTACAATAATTGCAGACTTTCTATGGACAATTGCATGCAATATGATTGTATCCTTTGCAGTAGAAGCACTGAAGTTTACCATTTCCCCATCTTTGTTCGGTATAAGCAACATTCATCACATCAGAGGATATATCAGCTCCCATGGTAGTTTGTGTAGCCAGCCGTTGCTCCTCACATAGAAGTTCACCCAAGCATAAATCAAAAGAGGGAACCGGATCGCGATTTAATAAACTCACCCCGAGCAACTTCAAATTTAGGTCGTAGTTTAATAGGAAACTGATCTCGCTTACTAACCTATTGAACCTCTTGTAGAGCCGATAGAGCCACTGTAGAAACCTTAGCATGAATAATGTTGGAGTACTCACTCCACAAGTTCGGAAAATCAAAATAATATTGCTCGATAGTGAGATTGCCTTGAGTGTAGTTGGTAATCTCTAGCTCCAACTGAAATCGCCGTGCATTGTTGTCTTAATAATAGATTCTTTTTAAGTATTCCCACATCTCCTTAACAATAGTGAAAGAGCGTAAATTATTCATCATGCGCGCCTCCATAGATCCCAAAATTCAAGAAATAATATGAGCATCCTTGATTTCCCATGCACTAAAATTCTTAGCATCCTTAGGAACTTTAGAGGACTCATCTATATGTCCCCAAAACTCTTTTTCCTTTTAAAAAATCTTGAACTGGAATTCCTATACAAGGTAATTCTTTCCTGTAAACTTAACAGAAAAGGCTTCAAACGATATAGTTCCTTACTGTAGAACAATCACTCAACTTAAAATTCCAATCGCAAGGGACAACCCACACAACAAAATTAATAGCCCAAAGAAATAAGTACAATTAAAACAAACCACAATTGGGCCTTACTCACCATGTACACAGAATCATACCACCGCCAATTGAGCCTTAACTATCGCAGTCCACTCCAAAGTCCACGCACCCCACACAAATGATATCACAGAGACGCCCACACCACAGAGCCCACACAGATAACACCACAGAGACGCGTATCACATCGATCGCACCCATAGAAACGCCGGTGATTCAACTCCGATCACCTACCAAACGTAGCCACGGATAATCAATTCCCACCGATGAAAAGAAAAATCAAACCTACTCAGGCTGCAATCGAACAACACCGCCGCGCTAAAGACGGCGATCTATACCAACAAAGATGTCAACCACAGATCGGTCAACCCAAAAAAACCCAACTCGAGAAACCACCCAGAAATCTTGAACACTTAGTGCAATGATTTTAAGCACCTAACTTCGACCACACCGAAGGTAGAAAGAAGCCGAAAATTAAAGATTCAACTATGGATTTTAGGGGTAAGCTCTGATACCATGACAACGTTTTTAGGCCGAATGATTTTCCCTTCTGGGGTCCTTTCATTATATAGAATAGAGATACGTATATCTAGGGTATGTAATCCTCCAAATAAAGTAAGTACAATCATATAAAGATGGCAATATAATCATAATATCTCTTTGTCGATCTCATTTACAGTCCATTGGCCAGTTGGTCTTATCTCGAGAAAAGAAAAACAAAATCAATATAGCTCAGACATATCTTTAATATTTCTGATGAAAGAAAAGCAAAAAGGCTTTTTTCCTAAAGGAAGTAGAAGTCTAAGGTTACACCAAGACAACCCAGTATATATAATTATTGGCCTGAAGTATTACAACAAATGGAAAGATTTCCAGATCCTTTCTTTAAAGGATTTTATACTATAGAAAAGTCGTCCCTGATTATTTTGAGGTAATTAACGGAAACTGTTTATTGGTATATTCTTTAATTAACTGGGAAAAATAGAATCAAATTAATATTCAACACACTAGATAGATGCATAAAAATTTACGTTGCCACGTATCTTCCATTAATTTTTAACTTCAATGAAAAGGTACAAAATATGCTTAAAAAAATAAGTTACTCAATGATCAATGAGTTTCGGTTGAACAACACACATTACTTTTCGGCTGAGAATAGAGTAAAACAATAACATAAAATGCATTTCCTCTACTTTCAGAAGTTATGGTCAAATTCAAACCAAAAGCATTATCCCTTGTCTTTTTGCCATCTTAAGTTTTAATACAACAAAACATCTTTTTCTTTGTTACTTCTTCACCCAATTTCAGAAGTAGTAAACCAGCAGATTTATATTCAATAAAAAATATACGAGCTCAAATGCTTACCAGTTTTATATCCTGCATTGAAATCTTTTTACCCTCCATATTAGACATCTTTGAAATTGCAAGCTTTTGGTGCACTCGGAGAAATATACAAACCAGTTTCTTTGCTTACACACTTTGTAAGCCGACCCTATTCAAGGTCAAGCATAGTTAACCACAAACAAGACTAAATTTAAATACGATTTAAGCTTTTAGATAGGGTGGTTCAAGATGGTATCAGATCATGCAAAAGACCTTGGTTCAAGTCTTGCCGTCACATATTTATAATAATTGTCCACGTGTAAGGCATTGATAAAAAAACTAAATATGACATGCAGGTAAGGGAGTGTGTTGCAAACTGCATCATCTCTATCGCAGTCTAAGCATCAAACACTGGCACGCAACAGTCAATAAGATACTGCCACAAGAAACCGCTACTGTCAATATAAAAGCTAGCCTCTTGCAGCAGCCACCGACCCTCCGCCTTTAAGAAATAATGATCATTTCTTCCACCAGATTCTCTTCACTCGAGAAACAAAAGGAAAAGGAAGAAAAAAGCTATTTTTCTTTTGCCTTCTTTAAGGTTAAGTAGGTTATCATATAATGACTAACAACAGAATAGCCAGCACATACAATAAAAAGATTCAATCTTTCCAAAGAAATTACAGAGGCAACTTACCATTTCTCTAAGTCTTACTAAATTTATTCAATTTATGAACGAATATCTTTCCTTTCTATTCCTTTACCCTTTTTCACTAAACAAATAAAGGGTTTCGAGTTTCAGAATTAATAACAACAAAGATAAACACTCGATCAAAGAAAACCCAATAGTTTAATTTATTTATCCATAAAATAAGGAAAAAAATTCATAACAACAGCAAACAGAAAAATCGGAAAAAAAATAAAAAATAAAGAACGATAATACATATGTAATTCGCAGCATATACTGAACACACACAAAATATGATACACCCAGTAAATATTTTAGCATGGAATTGAAAACCCAACATAATAAATGTTTATTCAACAAAAGAACAGTTATCGATGAGCTGGGTCGATTAGTTTCTAATATTTTTCCAATTACCTGATTTAATTGAAAACTGAACTGTCACCAATAAATTATAAATTGTAAAATAAGTGAAGCTGAGCTGAACACCGAAAAGGAATTAACAGATATAAATGAATCTGCTGATGCAAAATTGTGGAGCGTTTAGAAGATTGATTTCATTTCATGCAGCAGAAGTGTAGAAATGTTCGACTCAAATGTTTCCTCATTTTATTTTAGAAAGGGAAAGGTAAGGTGATAACGTTCTGCTTTGTGCTTTTCGTTAGTATAGCCCATTTTTGGCCTCCATTTTAACGTGTACCTGGGAAAATGTCTTTTGGAATAACGACTTATTTGAAAAATGTGTGATTAAAAGAAAAAGAAAAATTTTAAATTTATGTGTAATTTTATTTTATTTAAGAATTTATGATTAAAAAGAAGAGAAAAAATGCATTTTAGATAAAATGAAGACCAAACATATGCATAATTCCACTTCCAACTTCTCTTTTTTTTTTTTTTCCCTGCAATTTTGTGAATTTTTTTTTTTCATTTTTAAGTGATTATTAATATTTTAATCCAAAATATGTTCTATTTTCACGTTAAAAGAAATTTACAAAATTCAGTAACGTTCGATAACAAATATTGAGATCTTGCTAACTTTTAGTCTCGACGACAGGTAAATTTCAATATTTCATATATTCATGATAAGATAATTTTTGCAATGGAGAAGCTTGAAACAAAAATAAAATATCAAAGTGAATTTTGTGCTTAAAGATGAAGGGTTTAATGCAGGAAGATCATAGTAGAATGGAGAATTTTGGTGGAGTTGCCGGGAGACACAGTGGAGATATAGGGATGAATATAGTATTTTTCTTTTTTTTTTAAAATAAAATTAAAATTGTAATATGATGGATTTATATTTACGAGAATGATTGATAAAAATAGCGACTCCCTAAAATAAGCATATATAGATTAAAACAATAAGGAAGTCATTATTTACATTCACCATTGTTACATATCTATCTACTTAAAAAAAAAAAAAAATTATATTATATTTTTAACTTTATGTAAAAATTATATCACTCTAAATTCATCTACTAATAATTATTTTCATTTTGAACCTTTTTACATTCTTTTAAAATTTATGTTTAATTAAAATCCCAATATTCAAAAAATATCTTCGCCACCAAAAGCCAAATCAATAATTCTTCTTATTCTCAAACTTTTATGCATGGTCTTTATTATTCATCCGGGATTTGGCAAATTGAAGGCTATGCATATGTTCCATCAAGAACTTCTGGAATATATGAAATACTATAAATTCGACGTGGTGGCAACTCATCTTTACCGTAAGTGGTTCAAATTGAATGTGATTCATGAGGTTGATGAAGGAGATCATAGTTTTCATCAATGGGGATGAATATAATTGTTTTAAATATATAATAACAATTGATGTAAATAGCGGCTCCCAACAACAATTGATTCAAAAATTGTAACGAGGACGATATTCAATGACTTAAAACGTGTTAGAAAATGTCGACAAGAACCATGTTTAATTAATATATTTGCTTTTCTGGTAAGTCATCCGTCCAAGGTGCTAAAATGTAGTTTCTTTCTATTCATGTTCTTACCTTATTTGCCCTATAACTTGCCTATGAGGCGCCATGGTGAATAAGAGACCCACTTCGATATCTTTAATGATCAAGAATAGACATTAATTTCTAGTTTAAACAAATAGTTGACCATACAGTGAGACAAATGAATATTCTGATGTTTTAGCCTTGTCTAATAACTACCATTTAAACGACAAAAACTTTTGAAGTTTTACATTTAACGTTTCTTAATTGCTTTTACTGCATTGTTGATATTGATTTGATCAAGAATTTATCATAGTAGGATGCTTTAACATCTGTTATACCTCTTGCCATCAACGAAAAGTACAAGTACTAAAGATTTGCTAAACTAACTAGTATCCTAGGTTTCATCCTAGAATAAACTTCTATTTTGTATCCTTTGTCTTCATGAAGGCGTGATTTTCTCATCTATTATGTACACATCTATTAGTTTGACTAATAGAAATAGTAATGCATGCCCCTCAAAAGGAAAATGAAAGCCGGCCAAATATAGATTATCATGTTCCAATCTATTCCTTTCAACTCAAGATTGCTAGTTTATCATCTTCTTTCTAAAGTTCGAGAAGGCTTAACATTCTTTTTTCATATATATCCCCTCTTTGTTTCTCCCTTTTTTGCCCATTTGTAGTATCGTCTTCATTTTTTCCATCCAAAGATTCGATTATATCTTGAGTTACTTCATCATCAAGATAAAATAACAGATGGTATCATACAAGCATTAATTTATGAATGCCCTAATTTTCATGTTATTCTTTTCAAAGGCTTAATTTTTTGCCTTTTAGGACATCTTGTCAGGTACAAAGCAAGATTTTCACACGCATGTTTTAGAAAATGCGAGTTTTTTTTTTTTTTTTTTTTTCCAAATGATTCTTGATAATTCAAAGTATAAACTGAAGTAGTGGGATACAAACTACCCCGGTCCTACAACTTTTCAGAGAATCTATAACTCTGCCACAATCTATCGAAAATATGATCAGATCACAAGAAATTAATATTAGTACTGGAGCGGTACATTTGGCAGCATGGAAATATCCCACAAAGGATCATTTGAATCATGGATGTTATCCCAGTATTCACTAATCCCATTCATTGCGTAAAGTGAAGCTGAAATCTGTCTTTCGACCTTCATACGTTCAAAATCAGGAAATTGCTCATCAGACACCGTCTCGCCAACTCTTTTTTGTGCATCGAATCCATCTTGTTGAAATGGATAGATCTTATCAAAATCCATCAAAAAAGAAAAAGATTGATCATGATTAGGGAAGCACATTTCGTATCCTCCAGTGAAACAGCTGAAATCCGGCTTATAAGCATCCTCAAAATTGACCGGATTGGACAGACAAACTAGAGAACTAGTTTGAGAACTGACACTGGTACTATATTGAGAACTACTAGGAGAAATACGTTTGGTACTAGAAACATTTTTTGGACAGGTTTCAAGCTTACTATTTTTTCTAGGAGTACTATTTGTGGAAGCAAGAATAGGCGTTGTGGTTTTATTTAGGCCCCTCTTTTGATTAAGGAGATTCCGGATTTTCAAAGAAAGGGCCGGATTGGAGGGGGCGTTATTCAAGAAATTGGTTCGCGTATTTGTACCACGAAGAAGGTAAGCAGCTTCATCATAAGCCTGAGCAGCCTCTTCAGCGGTGTCAAATGTCCCGAGCCACATTCTGATCTTCTGAGTTGTGTTCTTGATTTCTGCGACCCATTTGCCCGATGGCCTTTGCCTCACCCCGACAAACTTGTTCTTGTTAGGACCCCTATTTCTTGATTTATAGGAACTAGTAGTATTATTGGCACCACTATCAAGGAACTGAAGTTCCATAGTACTACGTTAGAAAGAAATTTTTCGAAAAAGAGTAGATTGACAGAAAGAAGCAGGAGTTTTTATAGGATGATGATGTAGGATGTTTGTCTTATGTAGTTGTCTGGTTTTTAACTGAATTTGTTCCTTGTTAATGTTTGACTGAATTTTCAATGTAGGAGTGGACCGTTTCATTAGTCATGAGTCGTAAGCATGTCCAATTAGCTTGAAATGTTTATTTGTGTTTGTTTGTTAATGTGCTGCATTTCTGCAAAGCACGTTCTTTGCATTTTATTTTTTTTAAAATTTTCATTTCACCTTGCAAGGAAAATTGCATATTCCTTGCTCTCATTTTTTGTTAACTAAACCAGAACTAGAAAGTCGAGGCTATTGAACAGGCCAAAATATAGTCATCCCAGTTAAATCAAGCCATACTTGTTATGTATATCTAGAAATCTATATAAACAATGAGGACATTGTATGCTAGTCTAGTCTAGACGAGAAATAATGACAATAAAATTAGATGAAGATAAAATATACTTTTTTTTATGATGATAGCATCGTGGTAAGCTCAAATATTTGTTTCAAATTCATCACTTAGTCAGCTATGAATGAAATTTTAAAACAGAGTTGCAATCACGAAGGCCTGCCACTCTTTTTTTATTCTTAATTATTATTTTTTATTTTTTCAAATGTTGCCATTTGGATAAAAATTAAGTTGACCATTTTGCAATATCATACAATAATCTTAATTGTGTATTAAGGTAATAATGTAGAATCTAATCATGCACGCTTACAAGGAATCTGTGCTTTCATAAACTAACAAAAATGTACTTTATCCATATAGATAATACTTATCAAGGCATTAAATATGTCATCGATAATGGTTTGTTGGAACAGTTGGACACATTGGCAGTGGCAAGCATTGTGCCATTTCAATCAACATTCCAAGTTTTTCATCATCCAATGCCGGTCGAGTTAGTTTGCTTATGTCAAGGTATCATCCACTAAATAATTCACAGCATCCAAGACGCACTCTGTGCATATGAAACATTGAAATTTTTTACCGATCCGAGACATGTTGTACAAGCATTAGCAGCAAATACCTAGTAGGTATTATTTTTTAAAACATCAATCCCAAACCACCTCGACACATGATAAAAACCAACAAAAAATTCACCATGTACAACTAAAAACTTCGTAATATAAAACAGTGAAAAACATGACTGGATCAAAACTGCAACGGGGTTGCCTCTGACAACCCTCAAATCTGGTAATTGACCAATAAAAATCTCACAAACCATTAATAAAAAAAAAAAAAAAACACTTCACCCCCAGGCCACCCTCTTGCTCTTTTCTTTTCTAAAGCAAGACGGAACTGCTTGTATTTTTACACATTCTGCAAACGGTAGTCTATATTTTACTCGCAAATGGCATTGACACTCGAGAAAAAAACAACCAACAGAGGAGGCTGACGCATAGGACCTTATACAAATGAATGCTGTGAACAACTTAAAATGAATAATTAACAAATGTATAATCATCATAAAACAGCAGTAACCCAAATGAAAAATGTTGTCCCCTTGTGCACTATGATGAAAGAATTGATTGTAATGCAAGTTGCTGCTGAGGCTGCAAGGATGACCATGTAGAGGCAAGAGTTGATGGTGGTAGTGTCTGTTGAAGCTGCCTCAACAAATTAATCATACGACTAATAGTTTGCTCCGTAGCAAGATCTTTACCTGCACATAGGACCTATAGCAGAAAAAAAAGGTTGATAGTCAAAATGCTCTCTATGTACAATACAGTTTTTCTCTCTCTAAATACACGACAAAAAATGAAATGATCACAGTTCAGAGCATATTCATGTATATAAATGTCTAAAGATCCCAGTCAAGTGGAGGCTAATTAGATTGTAATACTTTATTTGGAATTTCACAACACTATAAAATGCACATTAAGTTATTAACCGATCATACAGTGAGAACTAACCTCAGCAAATACAGCAACAATTTTGGGGAGATATTGATTGTTGGGACCCAGAAGCTCCCTATCGGACCTACAAGAGGAAAACCTGGTCAATATACAGAAATTAAGGTTGTTATCAACGAAGTTTGGCTTCCAACAATGCCAAATGAGAGCAGTCTCCATCGTCTACCTCTCGACCATTGTGCAAAGCTGCTCATGAACAACTTTTGCTTCAATAAGATCACCCTTTATAGGTAAGCAGCTCAACCAGGCAATAACTACCTGCTAGTAACATTCAGCCATAAGACATCTCAATACACAGAAGATAACTCTTCCATACGTCAATTTTCTCAAAATAATACCATTAATGCAAAATAATGCTTGCACAACTTCCATTTACATCTTCACACAGACAAACAGCAGGAAGTAGAAAAACAAAACAGGAACAAGAAAGTGTCATTCATTACACAGGAATATATTCAATGGTAATCATTTTAAAACAATTGCATTGATGTCAAACGTGTAGACACAAGGAAACCACAAGCTACGAAAAATGACTTCATATCTTGTTAAAGGTTGAACAACAATTTAAGTGGGTATAATAGTGATATATTATGTATTGGGACATATTGTATCTACAATCAAGTCTTCATTTTATAATTGCAGTTTTGCAATGAAGAGAATACAAGTCCATTATTCTTAAGATCTTAAGAATCAGAAATGGCTGGTTTCTCAAATTTTCTGGACAACTTCATGCTGGCGGTTCAGATTCATCAGAGGCCATACTTCAGTCACAAAAATAACTATATCAATCAAATAAATAACCAGCAAAAACAAACCACCTGAGCATAATCAATGCCATCACGATGAAATTGGCATATCTTTCCCAGAGCAGAAACCGCATTATCATATGCCATTACATTATCAGGTTGCATAGCATTCGGGTTCCCAATAACCACATTAAGCCTAGAAAGAGCCTCTGAACCACATAGATAAACAAGGTTAGTTAAAAGAATATAAAGCTGAAAATCTCCACACCGCAAGACTATGGAATCACATATACCTCCAACAAGTGGTTTAAACACAGAGCCACCGAATTCTGCACAAACACCAAGCCCATATACAGCAGCCTGAAAATAGCAATGAGGCAGTTAGAATAGACTCAGATATTAGCAAACATTAAGCCTAAAGATTTTGCTTCAAAGTTCTTGAAAACCTGTCGGACATCTGGACTTTCATCATTGCACGCTTCCAAAAGAAAAGGAAGATAGGTATCATAATACCTGGTTGACAAAAAAGAACAATTGCATTAGAATTTCAAAAAGTGCAACCAAGTTCAAGAACATGTATGCTAAGCAGTATACTTTAGGGCTGATTCACGACACTGCTCAGCTACATCATCGAAAATGCAAATTGCGATTCTTCTCTCTTCAGCCGTTTTATCCTTTCCCTAGAAGAAAACCAAGCTTAGTGATGATTGGGCAAAGAACGAAGGATAAAAAACCTAAGATATTGTTCAATATTCCAATGCAATACTTTACCTAACCACATTGCCCCCAGGCAAAAAGAAAAAAAGATACAGTCACAAGAGGAATGAAGAGGTAAAACTTACCCACATAGGCATCAGATATGATGACAGCTCATCAAAGAAAGGTAAGAAAGAAGCCTTGAACGTTTTGATCAAAGTTCCTAATATTTCGCCAACCTAAACCATTAAAGACGGAACATAAGACATCCACTAATCGTCAACTTTTATCTGATTCAAAAACTTAATACATGGAATATACGACATCATATTTGAAAAACTAACTTGATCAAATAAATCTTCTTCTTGTTCATTTTCCTCTCTAAGCAGTTCTCCCTCCTCAGCATCAAAATCTTCAGCTTTGGCTCTCTCAGCTCTCTCTCTTTTTCTACTAGAGCTAGCTGTGATCACCTGTTTTATCTCTTCCACAATACTTCGAACCTGGTTTTCATCTAGAAGTAGTCCAGAAATCTGAAACAGAAGTTAAAAATAGGGAATGATGAATTTACTGCCAACATCAAACAAGTTAAATAACAAAAACAGCATCAACAAATAAGCCTTATTTGGGGTCTTCGCTCGAATCTTTTTTCATCTGTTCATTCTATCCGTCGAACATCAGCTAAAAGATCCAATACAAATCAAATATCATCCCATGTTAATTTAGGGCATTAGTTATTCCCTGCCCTTGCCTTTGCCGTCTCAAGCACCTCTAACATGTTATATTGGGATTGTAGGCTTGTATCACTCTTGCAAACGTGACTTCTTTAGGTCAGTAAACCCAGGAAAAGTAAAATTACAAAAACATAATCACCAATGAGATTGCCAACTTTTGTGAAACAAATGATACTATGCAGTCAGTTTTTTATAGAGATTAATTTTTGAAGTTTGTCTATTCCAAGTCAAAATTGACCATGAATTGAGTCTTCTATGAACAATCTTCCTTCGTCTTCTTAAAAACCAATTACTTGCAGACAGAAGATTCTTCATAATCCAAATGCATAGGTTGCATTCCCTTTACCGTTTCCAGATCCAAGTTGTTCAAGTAAATCAACGGTAGAAAAGTTCCTCATCACAATTGCTAAGACGTAATTGAATCGCCATCCAAGTTCCTAGAACCACAGTAAAAACCTCAAGAAAAAAACCAACCATTGACACCGTTTTCAGGGCTCAAATGAGCCTCGATGTTATAGAAAACATCAAGGTAACCACCTCCGGAATTTGAGATGCTAGCAACATAATAGGTATACTGTATTCGCAGTGGGCACGGGCACATTTAAAATTTTGAGATAAAATATAGGAGACAAAATCAAGAATTGACTTGCAAATTTTGAGGCATGAACTTATTGAACACTTGAAATGGTGGTGTCGTTAGAGTAATGTCAAAAACAAGTCCAAAAGAGGACATAAAAGAAAAATACCAGAGTCACAATATAAGCATGAAATTTAAACGACATATTATCTACATGGTCCAAAGTATTTTGACTATTACGATAAAACTAACCCACCTGTAGGCATTCATTCAACGCAT